AAGATTTTAAATAGTTCCACTGGAATGCCATCACTTCCACTGGCCTTGCTGTTAGCCAGGCTTTCTAAGGCCCACTTGACTTCATCCTTTAGGATGTCTGTCTCAAGGTCAGCAACCACACTATCTGCGTTGTCCGAGACATCCCGATCTTTCTGGTATAATTCCTCTGTGTATTCTTGCCACCTCTTCTTGATGTCTTCTGCTTCTGTGAGGTCCCTCCCATTTTTGTCTTTTATCATGTCCATCTTTGCACAAAATGTTCCTTTAATATCTCCAATTTTCTTCAACAGATCTCTGGTTTTTCCCTTTCTATTTTTTCTCCTCTATTTCTTTGCACTGTTCATTTAAGAAGGCCCTCTTGTCTCTCCTTGCTATTCTTTGGAAGTCTGTGTTCAGTTTTCTGTAGCTTTTCCTATCTCCCTTGCATTTTGTCTCTCTTCTCTGCTATTTGTAAGTCCTCATTGGACAGCCACTTTCTTGCATTTCCTTTTCTTTGGGATGGTTTTTGTTGCTGCCACCTGTACAATGTTACGAGCCTCCAACTGTAGTTCTTCAGGCACTCTGTCCACCAAATTGAGTTCCTTAAATCTGTTCTTCACTTCCACTGTGTATTCATAAGGGATTTGGTTTAGATTATACCTGCGTAGCCCAGTGGCTTTTCCTACTTTCTTCAGTTTAAGCTTGAGTTTTCCTGCTTATAGTGGAGCCTATATGTATCATGCCCCTTTTGCTTGGCTTGTCACTTTAAAAAGACTTGCTCCTCCATTTATACTCCATTTCCTACCATTACTTATTGTAGTATCCAGCACTGGTTTACGACATGCTCAAGCTCTAAGCTATGTCTGGTTTAAGAGGCTCCATAGCATTCCTACAAGAGTACTTTTTAAAAAACAATGGTTTTGCAGTTGTATTTAGAAGCTCTTTATAATCTGAAGTCCTAAACTGTAGCTTATTTGGTTTCTGTGTAAATCTGGCCTTGATGGTGCTGTGTAAAGCAGACTGCTTCGCTCTGCTAAATGATAGGGCTAATCTTAGTTGTTCTTTTTTCTCACCCCATAAACTCTAATAATTGAAAATATATGCTAGGACCTCACTATTCTCTGGGTTTCCTGTCTGCTGGAAAGTACTGATGGGCATATTGAGCACAGTAACTAGAATATGACATGGCACAAACAGTGAACTAATGGAAGTCTGTGTCGGTTCATTTTTTTTACTGATCACCTCCTGCCCCAGTTCGTTTCTCTCTTTTGCCTGAGTCCCTTGCTTCTTGTTTTGAAGCTGCTGGGAAGATATGAGTTTCACTCTCTTCTGAGTTTTATACTAACTTTATACAAGACTATCACTTTCATTTTGAGGTTCTGCACTGAGTCTATTCGTCATGATTCTTTTCACAGGGTTTGCTGGTACTCCGGGATACCTGTCACCTGAAGTCTTAAGAAAAGATCCTTATGGAAAGCCAGTGGATATATGGGCATGTGGTAAGGTTGCCTAGCATTAATTTTTCTTTTATTGTTGTGTTTTCAAATGGTGCATGACTTCTTTTGCTTTTATCAATTTTCTGTGTTACTTAATTGTAAGCTACTTTGAGTCCTGTTTGTGAGACAGAAGTGGGAAATGAACAATAGTGGTGGCATCTTGGCAGTTCTGTGTGCATGTGTAACTTAAAACTGCGCCTAACCTCCATGAATTTGTCTGACCTCTTAAAATTGGTCTAATTTCATGGCCATCTGTATCTTGGAGTGAGTGAGATTGTGTTGATTATTTGTTCTGCAGGGAAAAAAATGGAGAAAACAAAGTGAGCAATATTGCTGGGTTTGTTTTATTGTACACAAACCCTAAGGGGACCTGGGTATGATAAAGGAAATTAATCAGACATATTGCCTTATTAGTGACTGAATGTAGAAGACACCATTACCTGTTTCAGTGCTTCTTCAATGCTTAAAGCCTCAAAGCACTCGAGACTTGTGGTTTGGTAATCACAAGGATATGTGACGCGCTGAGGTTTTATCACTGAACTCTTGGTGTTTCAAGTGAATTATGGTCATTTCAGAAGCGTGTAGCCTAAGACACAGGGAGGGCTTGATGCAGCCACACATGGTGGGAATGACTAAGAGTTGATCTGCATCGTCCTGTTACATCATTATGTTCAAGCAGTTTCCACGGCACAGAGGGTTGTGCCTTCTCAGCTGCCATGCTTCTGCACAAGTTTCCTGAAGTCACTTTTCCATTTGTGGAAAGTTGTACAAGCATTTGTATTTTCTTGCAGTGTTCGGCAATAGGGAGGATTATGCGCTTGTGCTGCTTACTGTGCGGTGCCTTGCACAACAGTGTGACTCATACAACTCTGCAATTAGAGATTTGCGCTACGCAAGTGTTGAATAGAATCACCTGGACCAACAGTTTATGTGACTGGGTCTCTTATGGCAATGGGCTTAGTGGGTTCTAGCTTGTGTAACTATAACTCTTCTCTTCTCCCACAGGAGTTATTCTGTACATATTACTAGTGGGCTATCCCCCGTTTTGGGATGAAGATCAGCACAAATTGTACCAGCAGATCAAAGCAGGAGCCTATGATGTAAGACAGTGCTTTTCATTCCTTCCATTTGAATGGCTAAAACCAGCCTGTTTAGATAACTCCCATGGTCTGTGCACAAAGTACAGAAAGGTGTTTACACATGTTGCTGTGCCAGTCCTTTGTAGGTGCTGCTGTGTGGAGTAAATGCGAGGAGGAGTGGGATGGCCCTCAGGTGATCTTGCATGGACAGCCCTAATTAAAGAGACTCTCCTGTCACAGAAAGGTTTAGCTCTGGCCTGTGGTGATTACACACATTGCATGAGTGCACCAGTTTTCTGAAGCAATTGTAGTGTGAGAAAGAAATGGATATGAAGCATCACCGGTTTAGTTTTCCCTATGGGAGAAATGGTAGGATGAAGCTTTCAACAATCAGAACAGGTTGGCAGGTGAGTGGCCCAAGTTCTTTTAGACTCTGTGCCTCCAGTTTCACGCTAGAGATTCTAGCTGAGTGGTAAAGCGTATGATTTGCATGTGGGAGATATCAGGATCAATCCTACTTAAAAAGAAATAAGTTAGATAAATAGGTTAGAGATGATGAGAAAAACTTTCTCAGCTTCAGAGCCTGGAGAGGAATGCCACTATATGGAGAGTTAGAAGCAAAATGGACAATATATGCTGTCCTTTCTAATGCCTTTGCAGCAGTACAGACCTGATTAGCACATAGCTAGAAGGGGAAGGGAGAGTGTAGAGATTTGTTTCCAGTTCTCATGTTAGCCGAACATCAGCGGAATTCCCACTAATTAACTCTTACTCAAATTCTGATATTTAAAGCCAGAGAAAACCATGAAATTACATGAAACAAGTAAACGTATTCCAGTGGCTTCTCTCTCTGTCTCCTAGTTTCCTTCTCCAGAATGGGACACTGTGACTCCCGAAGCAAAGAACTTAATCAACCAAATGCTGACAATCAATCCTGCAAAACGCATCACAGCTGATCAGGCTCTTAAGCACCCATGGGTCTGTGTAAGTTTCTCTGTTTTCTGACCCTATCTTACTGGAAGAGCTCCTAGAACCCTGGCTATGTTATCCTGTTAGAGGAAGGTTTGTTGCTTTGGGTGCTGGCGAGTTAGCAACATTTGTGTTATTAACAGGGTTGTGCAAAAACTTGGGAGGGAAGAATGTGAGTGATGAGCTTTTGCAAATACCAACAAATACTTTGGTACAATTTTCCTTTTCCTTGCTTTTCTATAAGAGCTATGTGTACATGCATGTGAGGCTGAGAGAATGAGAATCTAACCAGGTTCCTTGTTTGTTTGTTTTTCCCCAGCAACGATCCACGGTGGCTTCCATGATGCACAGGCAAGAGACTGTGGAATGCTTGAGAAAGTTCAATGCTAGGAGAAAGCTGAAGGTGGGTTTGAAGGATGTGCAGTCTCACAGGTTGGAATTATTGGTGGTGCTGATAGAGCATGTTTAGATCTTTTGCTGTGGACACCGATATTTTGGTTTTTGCTCAGTGTGTTTAGTGGCTGGAGTCAAGGCCTTTTTCTACAGCTCTGACTTGCTACATTCACTATATCGGAGATAAAACCAGTTCTATATATTGTGATGGACACTCTCCTAATTGCCCATGAGTGGAAAAGTAGAAAGAAAGATTTCTGTTTATGCTCTGGAGCAGTAATGGCGAACCTTTTTGAGCCCAACTGCCCAAACTGGAACACAAAACCAAGTAAATAGGAAAACCTATTTGTGCCTGGGGAAGCAGCTGGAGGATCCAGATGCTTGCACTGTGGCTGGGTCTGGGCATTACTGAAGAAGACACCTTGCCGTGGGTGGTTGGACGGAGGCAAAGTGGCTGGATGTGGAAGAAATGTAGTCAAAGGCCAGGAGAGCCAAGAAAGTGGAAAGAGGAAAGTGCGGGCAAGAAATTCGAGGCACCCCACGTGCTGAGTCCCTGGAAAAAGTAACCACACTTGCTTACCCACAGCTCTGTGCCCCAGTCCATGCTGGCCGCGCCTTTGGTGTTGCACTTTCTCTTCCTCGCACAGGCCCACTCGAAAGCTGAGTCGTCGCCACCACGACCGTCCCAAAGAGTCCCACTCCTCCGGCTGCACAACCTAGAGGAAGTAAAACTTTATCTTACAGTAACCAAACCAAACATGCATTGTTTGCATTTAGAACACTTGTACCACAGTGTATTACAGCCCAACAGAAATATGCATGTTTTCTATCATGATGCAGAGTCCTGTCTTTCTTGTACCCACGGGTTGGTATCCTGTATAAGTATAGCTGTGTTGATTGGTGGAGTCTTGGAATTACGTCGTTTCGTTTAGTCGTGTCCGACTCTTCGTGACCCCATGGACCAGAGCACGCCAGGCCCTCCTATCTTCCACTGCCTCCCGGATTTGTGTCAAATTCATGTTGGTTACTTCGCAGACACTGTCCAGCCATCTCATCCTCGGTTGTCCCCTTCTCCTCTTGCCGTCACACTTTCCTAACATCAAGGTTTTTTCCAAGGAGTCTTTTCTTCTCATGAGACTTGGAATTACAGTATAGTCCAAAAAAGCAATGTTTCCAACTTGTGTCTATCCAATCATTTGGCTGTCTGGCTTACACTATTAATTCTCTCTCTCTCTTTCTCTATAGGGTGCCATACTCACAACAATGCTGGTGTCACGGAATTTTTCAGGTAAGTATTCCTTCTCTGTCTGTCCTTCCATGGTATATGTTCCAGAGAAATATTGTAGAGTGAATCAGGCAAATCACATTTAAGTTGGCTAAAGAAAAATCCATGGGTGTCAAATCAGGGGATTTTCTGCAGTCACTGTATGAATTAAGTTGATTTTGAAAAGGAGTAGTCATGAAGCCCTTGAGAATTTGCTATACATAAGAAAGTCCTTGTAAAGCAGTGGTCCCCAACCTTGGGCCTCCAGATGTTCTTGGACTTCAACTCCCAGAAGCCTTCACCACCACCTCTGCTGGCCAGGATTTCTGGGAATTGAAGTCCAAGAACATCTGGAGGCCCAAGGTTGGAGACCACTGTTGTAAAGGACTTATCTCCTGGAACAGGCTCAGGAGCATAATGGCCGTGCAAGAACAAGACTCGCTACTCGAAGCAAGGGAGTGGTAGATCTCTGAGATCCCCATATGGAGAGTCTGGAACATCTAGACTGCTCCTGCTGCTTGTTCTTCCTGAGGTTTTTGAAGCTGCTAATCTCACAGCCAGAAGCTTAGACTAACACTGTGCTTTTTGTTAAAATAAAGGTGCTGCGGAGGGAAAATTTTTAGGGGAGCAGTCAGTATGCTCCTTAACAAGTAAGTAACAGGCTGGGGAGGTGGGCAGCCCCTCCTCTTCATACTGCAGCAACCTTGGTCCTCCCTGTATCCAAGAGGAGGTCGTATCCCAGATGTTATAATTGCCCCTGCTTCATCTCAGTGAATGGGAACTTACAGGTCAGGGGCATTTCCTTTTCTCACTTCAGCCCATTTTGTTTGGATCACCAAGTTCCCTTGTTATATGTGGAACTTTTTTTTCTTAGATATCCTTTGCTTGGGTGTTACCATCTTGAGCTCTCCTGGCCTACTTGGAATAATCGAGCAGTTAAGCCATAATAAATCACCCTGACACCCCCTTCCTTTTCTCTATCTGTAATGAATATATTTCAGTACAGATAGATTCTCTTGCCTATGAAATGTTTTCTTGATTTCTATTTATAGATATTGTTGAGAAGGCAGAACTGCTAATTGAGAGAAAGGTCTGTACAGGTGCATCACACACATTCATGGAGTTTGTTTAGGAAGATCTGAAGCAATCTTGTCCTAATCAGCATTTATATATATCCAGTGATAAATATTGTTGTGCTTTTAAAAGAACATTTTAAATCAAGGCGGATGGCTATATGTAAGACTTGACAAAATGCTTTTTGTGTTACACTGTTTCCCATGAGTCCTAGCCACCCTGTCCAGTGGTTAACAGGTGATGACAACAGTAGTTTATCACCACCTTGAAAGCCACTCACCTGGGCTAAATTGTGCCCTCGGAAGAGCATTCTGAGTTGTTATATCTAGTGTTAATAAATACTGTACCATATTTGTACTTGTTACTATTTTCTGTTATCTGTAATTTTATTATTTGGTTTTATTATTTGTTTATATTAGCAGGCAATAATATAAAGAAATTAAAGCAGTGAATGGGTTCCTTGAGTATTTCCTGAAAAAGAGAGTACAGTATATCAACCTTTCCTCCTTTTGCATGCATTTTTCTTTTTTTGGAATGGATGGTTCTTATGGTAAAGGTATCTTTCTAACTGTGGCAGGAAACCTGAGAGATCTACTATTGTCTCAGCTCTTCAGTTAGACATCTACACATGCAGTAGGAAACAGTGATACATAACATATTAGTTTGTTTTGAGTAACGCTGTTTCTGTTCTCACCTCTGTATTCTGTATGATTGTGACAGAGTGAATTAATCTTGCTTACCTACCCTATATGTAAATCACAGTATTTGAACCAGGAGATACCCTTTCTTGAAGTTGTAGTGAAATGAGAAACTTCAGAAGGGGTTACTCATTGCAGCTGAGTCTGGGCATTACTGAAGAATGGATGCCCAAATTTTTGGCTTAAAGGGTGAATCATTAGAATAATTCAATACTAGGTACAGAAGCAGGTACAGACGGGGAACAGAGATGCTTTCTTGCCCACATCCTTGCTTCTGTGTCATTCACAGAAGGAAATATTAGCAGTTGCTGCTGTTTCTGATAATTTCAAAGGGTTTCAGTGCTCCTAAGTATTTCAGGCTTTCAGACAGTTTCTTTTGTCTCTTTAAAGTTTGAAATAGGAAGGGAGATTTCACTGGAGAACCTGTCAGTGCACTCGGATCAAGAGAAAATTATACAGAGACACTAAAATCATTATAAATTACAGGCTTATGTTTTCATAATAATGGAAAGGACAAGTCACTAAGAGCGAATTATATTTATGGTTTTTAGCAGGTGTGATAGGGAGCATGTAGCAGGAGGTGATGCCTTTATTATCCCTGCCTTAACTATTGTCCTCAAGCATAAAATTCCAGCCAATAAGAGCACTCCTGGAAGATTGAGCCCTGCTTTACTGTAGCATTGCTGAAGTAGGCTGTAACTTATAGAAGTTCAGGTACAATAAATTGTCTCAAGGCATCAGCCTCTGCCTTTATCCTGTGTTTCCCAGATCCATTACACTTCTTACAAAGGGAATGATTAAAGCAAATCTTGCTCAGCTCCCTTTGATCCCCTCAAGTGATTCTGTGCACAAATCAAAACCTAGTAGTATTAAATTGTCAGTTAGTTCCCCTTTGGGCTGATCCCAGTTCCTTTTGTTCTTTAACTTTGTTCTATGCAGAGAAGAATTTTCCTCTGCGAAAGGTCCATCAAGTTCATAAGCTCGTATCTAATCCTGAAGATGAACCGCTGTTGGTCTTAGTCCCCACCACCAAAGTTCTTCTCAGGTGAGGGAGGGCCCTTCCTATACAAGTCTTTTTGCTCTTTCAAGATGGCAGAAGGTATATAATCTTGGGTGCTTGTGACATTGGTGGATATACGTCTTCCCATTTGCATATTCCAGTCAAGTAAGGTAGCTCCTCTTGATCACTGACAAGTCTGGAAAATGTCATGTGATTGAAGATAATTTCTGTGAATTAGAAGAAAGGGACAGTGCCTGTGTGAGGTCATCAGTGATTGCCTGTTATGGCTCTACCTACATGGAAATCTGATTCCTTCAGTGATATTTGCTCACCCAGTTTTTCTTGTACGCATTTCATGAGCACCATCTTTTGATAGCTAGGGGTCTGAGTCCTGGCCCATGATGGAATCTCATGGTTCTCTTAATACATGGCAGTTCATACTAGTGAAGATAAGTGTCTTTCCATGTTCAAGGCCCAGACTATGAGGATTTTAAATATTTATTTATTTATTAGACTTTTATACTGCCCATCTAGAACATGTCTACTCTGGGCAGCTTCCACAAAAAACAAAAATACAGTGGTGCCTCACACAACGATGTTAATTGGTTCCAAAAAAATCAACGTTGTGTGAAACATCGTTCTGTGAAACACCATTTCTCATAGGCATGCATTGAAAACCGGATAATCCGTTCCAATTGGAACGGATTGCCATCGCTGAGTGAAAATCCCCATAGGAAACATCGCTGTGTGAAACAATGTTTCCTTCATTGGAATGTATTGAAGCCGACTCAATACATTCCAATGGCTTTGCGAAGTCCTTTTTCGCTCCTGTAAAAGTGTCTTACAATGTTTGGAAGCTGTTTTAAATGATTGCAATGGTAAAGCTAACTGATGGCTGTTGGGAAGGCCTGCCTGTAGAGCCAGGTCTTTAGTTTGCTCTTGAAGGCCCTCAGCGAGGGAGTCAGGCAGATCTCTAATGGTAAGTTGTTCCAGAGACAAGGAGCCACTGGTGAGAAGGCCCGGTTTTTAGTTTTTTCCCTTCAGGCCTCTCTTCGAGTTAGGCCCCTCAGCCGCCCAGCTTGGCTGGAACGGGAGATATGGGCAGAACTAGGTGGAAGAAGGCGCTCTGCCAAGTATTGAGGCCCTAAACCATTTAGGGCTTTATATGTAATAGTCAGCACTTTGAAATCGACACGGAAGTGAATAGGTAATGAGTGTAAGGTGGCCAGGATGAGGGAAATATGATGGAATCATTTCACCCCTGTTATTAGCCTGGCTGCCATGTTCTGGACCATTTGAAGCTTCCTCATCAGTGTCAAAGGGAAGCACCACATAGATATTATTACAGTAGTCTATTCTTGAGACTATGAATACATGGACAAATGTGGTGAGAGCCCCCGTGTCTAGATAGGGATGCAGCTGGGTGATCCTCCAAAGATGTAAATGGGTGGACCGAACCACAGACGCTACCTCGGTCTCCATGGTAAGCGCTGGGTCAAGATGAGTCCCCAGACTGTAAATCACACTCTCCGTGTTGAGAGTCGCCCCCCCCAAAAGAGAGGGAGTTCCCCAAACCACTGACATCGGGTGCTGACCCACAAGACCTCCGTCTTTTCCAGGTTCAACCTTAGTTCATTCAACTGCATCCATTGCAGAATGGCCCTCAGGCAGCGCTCAAGAGATGGAACGGCATCCATTGCAGATGGAAAAAAGGAGATGTAGAGCTAAGTGTCATCAGCATATTGGTGACACGAGGCTCCAAACCCTCAGATGAACCCGTCCCAGCGTCCTCATATAGATTCTAAACAGCATTGGGGAGATGATCGAACCCTGCGGTACCCCACAATTGAGGGACCACAAAGCCGATACATTCTCCCCAAGCTGGTCTCTCTGAGGACGACTCTCCAAGAAGGACCGGAGCTAAGCAAGAGCAAGGCCACCAATCCCCAACTCAGAGAGCCTCCCCAGTAGGATACCATGGTTAACGGTATCAAAGGCGGTTGAAATATTGAGGAGGACCAACAAGGACGTTTTGCCTCTATCGGCCTCCCTCAGTAGGCCATCAAGCAGGGCGACCAATGCTGTTTCCGTGCTGTGGCATGGCTTGAAGCTGACTGAAATGGATCCAGAGTGTTGGTTTCATCAAAAAGGGCCTGAAGCTGATCGGCCACTACCTTCTCAACAACTTTGCTAAGGAAGGAAACATTTGCGACGGGCATATACAGTAATTGCTAATATTGTCTGCTGCCAAG